GCGCCGCGGCGCAGGAGCCGGAGGAGGAGAAAGGGTGCGCAGCCCGGAGGCGGGGTGCGCCGGTGGGGTGCAGCGGAAGAGGGGGTCCAGGGGGGAGAACTTCGTAGCCGTCATCCTTTTTAGGAAAAGAGGGAAAAAATAAAACCCTCCCCCACCACCGCCTTCTCCCCACCCCTCGCCGCACCACACACAGCGCGGGCTTCTCGCGCTCTGCACCCGCGGGCCGGGCGCGTCCTGCCTTCATTGAGCCAGCAGCTTTTCGGAAAAGGCATTTGCCGTTCGGAGTTTGATCAGAAGAGGATTCCTGCCCCCGGTGCCGGCTGGCTCCCCGGCCCGCGTCCCTCTCGCTCCCCTGGAGGCGTGAAGCGGCCCCGTGGACAGACCCATGTCTGTGCCCGCGCGTGTGTGTGCGCGTGTAAATTGCCGAGAGAGCGAAAATCACAGGACTTCTGCAAATACTGGACTGAGAATTGTAATTCATCTGCTGCCGCCGCTGCCTTTCCTTCCCTCGTGCTCTTGAGCTCTCCGGTTGGGATTCCTACGGATTGACATTTCTGTGAAGGAGAAGTCTGGCCAGCAATCTGGAAATTCTCCTTATTTTTGACCCCCCCCCTCCCCGGGCCCCCTGATTCATTTGGAAGTTTCAAAGCAGCTAGAACCGGAGTTCTGAAGATCGGTGGAATTTTGCCTTATGCATTTGTGTTTTTTTTTTTTTCAAGGAAACTTGACAGAGGATCATGCTGTCCCTGAAAAATACAAGTAAGTTCTTTGCACAGGAAATTGGTTTAATGTAACTTTCAATGGAAACACTTGCGATTTTTTAACTTTAAGTGCATTCGAGTAAGTTCTGTTTCCAGGCAGTCTAATCCATGCTCTTTAATCGTGTAACTTGTAGTGTGTCTTTCTCCCCCCCCCCCCCCCCCACCCCCCGTCGGTAAGGGAAAATGCACCTGATTTTGACTTACTGGTGTTTTTTTTTTTTTCTTAACCTTTCAGCATCACGGAGGAAGTAGAGTGATATTAACAGTACTTAATAATAATGTGCCTCATGAAATAAAGATCCGCAAGGAATTTAAATAAAAATTTCCTGCATCTCATGCCAAGAGGGAAACACCAGAATCAAGTGTTCCGCGTGACTGAAGACACCCCCTCATCCAAGAATGCAAAGCACATCCAATAAAATAGCTGGATTATAACCATTCTTTTTTTTCTTTCGGGGCCGCGGGGCGGGAGCGGGGGCGAGAGGTGCCGTTGGTACCCGACTGCTCTTCCTCGGGGCAGGATGGCGCACGCTGGGAGAACAGGATACGATAACCGGGAGATAGTGATGAAGTACATCCACTATAAGCTGTCGCAGAGGGGCTACGAGTGGGATGCCGGAGATGGGGGCGCCGCGTCCCCGGGGGCCGCCCCCGCAGCGGGCCTCTTCTCCTCCCAAACCCGGCGCTCGCCCACGCTCGCCAGGACTTCGCCGCCGCCGCCCCCGGCCGCCCCCGCCGCCGCCGCCGCCGCCGAGGGGCCCTTGCTCAGCCCGGTGCCACCTGTGGTCCACCTGACCCTGCGCCAGGCCGGCGATGACTTCTCCCGTCGCTACCGCCGCGACTTCGCCGAGATGTCCAGCCAGCTGCACCTGACGCCCTTCACCGCGCGGGGACGCTTTGCCACGGTGGTGGAGGAGCTCTTCAGGGATGGGGTGAACTGGGGGAGGATTGTGGCCTTCTTTGAGTTCGGTGGGGTCATGTGTGTGGAGAGCGTCAACCGGGAGATGTCGCCCCTGGTGGACAACATCGCCCTGTGGATGACCGAGTACCTGAATCGGCACCTGCACACCTGGATCCAGGATAACGGAGGCTGGGTAGGTGCATGTCTGGTCTCCCTGCGGAGAGGCGGTGGTGGAGGTGGAGGCGGGCATGAGAGTCCAGGGACCCACATGCTTGCCCGGGAAATAAAATCGGGGCTGTTGGTTCTTCCCGGTTCCCCCGAATCAGAGCTCCTGCAGACAGTCCCATGGCCGCGGCGGGTCATTCCCGCTGCCCAAAATAGTTTTCCTGCTTGTGCACCATTGAGGGGCAAAGATCCAGCACTTGCTGGGTCAGTAGCACCTGAGGATAAATGGTACCTTGCAGGGCTTCTCAAACTGGTGATCCAGGGACCCCTGGCATCCCCACTACCTGGCCTGAGTAGCTGTTGAAATCAGAGATTACAAGGATTACTCTTTCCCCTGAGCCCCAGGTCAGGGCCTGGCACACGGTCTCCTAAACAAGCTCCCTGGGGGAGTCTTTGTACTAAAATTTAAGAGCCACCAGTTGGAAGCACAGAGAGACCAAGGGCCTCTTCCATCTCACCTGGTAAAGTTTACCCAAAGAGGAAGATCAAGGCCGCCCCTTTCCTGGGGCAGTTATCTGTGTTTGTAAAGAAGTGAATTGCCTTGGCAGAAATCCCGGGACTCCCCTCAGCGTCCCTGCAGTGAGCGAGAGACACGTGCCTGGGTCTGTGACCCAGGGTCTCAAATATTCAGCCCAGGTTACCTTCCTGTCGCTCCTCTGTGACAGTCACACACGCTGCGTACTCTGCCCTGTTTCTGTTATCTGGTGTATGATTTTAAAGTTTGCTGGAACTTGAGGGTCTGTTACTTTTTTACTACCTGGAATCCGCACCTCCTCCTTGTGGCCTCCTTTGCTGAAAAAAAGTTGCATATGCGGTGTCTGTAGAAAGTAGAGAACTGATTCTTGACTGTGGATTTGTTTGCGTCCTCACTCTGCTGGAGTGATGGATGCCGGTCGTTTTAAAGAGCCTGTGTGTGAGAGTGTTCTTTTCTGGTGTTGGGCTAGACAGAGCTTGGGCCACATTGCTGTGAGGTTCTGTTCTGTTCTGTACGTGGTTCTCTAGGGCGGAATGCCAGGACTAGCGTTGACAATTGTAGCAGACACACCTTCTGTGTGAGGTCACCCGTGGATGCAAACGAGGACTCATGCTGGTCTACTGTTTTTGCTTGAGGCAGAAGAAGGAAAGGGATGCAATTAAGTGCCTTCGTTAATAGTGTCTGGAGAGAATTATGTAATTATTTTAAAGGACCTACCAGGAGCAGAAAGCCTAGAAATGACTACATGCAGGCAGATGTCAAGACGCACATTATTCAGTGGGCCATGGTGGTGTGACGACGTATACTGATATTAGGGTCTGATGGGAAAAGGCTTAGAAAAGTAGGCTGATGAGAGCATCTGACCCTACTCGGCCAAAGTGTCTAAAATTAAAGTACTCTCTCTGATTTGTTTGTTTTTTGAGACCCCTTCTGATCAAATGGTTAGTAATTCTGGAAGAATTTACAAAAGAGTAAGAGGAGTATTTTTGTTAACTGTTCTGTTAAGTAGGTGATTTTATTTTAAATCACCATAACCAAAGAGGCAGGGACTTCCAGGCTCTGACAGGACCACTTTAAAACCAAAGTAAAACTAACTTAACAGTTTTACTATTTCATATTTTTATGGGAAAAGTATCTAGATTACTTTTTTCTGGTTGGAAGAACTACTGGGGAAGCCGTCTTGCACCAAGTAGTTTAATAGAAAGATGGGAAGCAGAGACATGTGTTTATGATAGAGTTAAGGTGTGACCTTGATCTCCTTGAGCTGTAGCATACCAGCATCCATACACAAACAAGGCTCCTTTTACACACAACCTTGCTTTTTCCTCCCTTCAAAACAGTCTTCATAGTAGAGTCTTTCTTTGTGGTGAACAGGTATCTGAGGTTGATAAATGTAGAGGCTACATTTTATGATGCTAAACCACAATGACATACTGTAGAACTTGATAACATTTTTTTGACAAAACCTCTTCTAGTAAAAATAAATCATGGAGAAGCAGAAATGGCCGATGGTGATGTGTGTGGTCATTTCCCGACCGATAGATGGATCCCAATATAGGAAGACAAAGGAGTGTGTGTGGGGCAGGGACAGAGTATTCAGCAAGAAATGTGATCCTAGGGGAACTCCGGAATGAAAGTGTAGGCGTTTGAGTTATATATGATCTGCGTATCTTTTTGAATATGCGTTGTGAGTGATCTACAGGTGTGTTTTAGGCACTTGGCGCACACAGGTATTTTCTGAAAACTTGCCCCAGTCACTGCTGCCTGTTCCCCATTGTGTCTGCCTGTGGAAAGTGTTGCTAACAACAATGGTAATAGCTCAGAAGAGAGCTAGCATGCTGTCCTCACGTGATGTTGCCTTGCACTGTTTTGAGGGGGCCGTGAGTAAGCTCATTCCTGCATATTTGCTAGTAGGGTCTTTGAACTTGAAGTCACTTTTTAATTTTTTTTTTTTTTTTTTTTTTTTTTGCTGCTGCTCATGCTGCAAAATCACAACCTTCTGAGGCTGAAGGAAGCTGTTTGCCATCTATGTCCAATAACTTGGAGAAAGCAGACCCTTGGAGTAATAGGTGCCTCAGAGATGGCCCCAGAAGCCTATAAATTAAAGAAAGACCGCAGAAGAAATTGGGTGCTGAGTGGAGCATGGCTTTATCCCTAAGGCTGAATGAGGCGTTGTGTGGCAACCAGAGAGTCAGGGCAGAGGAGAGCAGTGAGGGGGGACGCAGCAGTTTGGGGAAGTGGTGAAGACCCTGCTTCTGCCATCGTGGCTTCCAGACCCGCAGCTTGGGCATCACTGAGGAGCACAGAGGTGCAGATTCTCAGGCCCCTCCCCAGAGCTCCCGAGTCAGGCGCCGTGACTCCCTGGTCGGCTGGTGTTCGTGTGTGCCTGGCCGTGAGGGACGTGGCTGCCGCCCTCTCCTTTGATTCCCAGGGACATCATTTTAGGAAAAGTGACATCCTCGATGGACCCTTTGTAGTGGCCCCCAGCTCATGGCATTACCTAGAATATTGTGTTTCCCAGCAGTCCCTTCGCGTGATCTGACCCTCAGAAGATATAGATGGGAATGAAAGAGCTGGGAGACAAATGACTTCAAGCCCAGTCTTCTTTAGACTGTTTTCATGGTGGCTCTGTAGTGGGTGTTGGAATCACTGGCTCTATTAAAGTAAGGAAGCTTGTTCTCGCCCATAAAGTGGGAGGTTGGGCTCTTTGGCTTACTATGTTAGCCCGTCAACACAGTTTCAGTTCTGGAGATGAGTTTCGTGGTCCTAGGACCGCTTTCAAGACAAAGCAGTGCCTGCAGGCACAGGGTTAGGATCTGGGCAAGTTGGTGGGGAGTGAAATGGAGAGAACGCTCCAGACAGAGAAGTGTGACAATGTGCAGTTTCCATCTTAGGAGAGAATGAGGGGGAGATGTGGAGGCAGAATGAGCTGTCTTCAGCAGGAGACAGACTTCATTCCGTTGATAGGTGGTGGTCCAACTTTCTTTATGTCATTTGGTCTTTGTGGTTTAGGAAGAGAGGAACTTGCTTCTCCGCATCCAGTAGAGGTTAGCTTCCTTTTTATTAGTTGGTATCATAGTTTCTTTTTTCTACACACAGGACATTGTCCACCTCCAGCAAAACAGTTGATTAACTGGGAAGCAGTACCAGGGTCTAACGAGCGTACAGAATACTTGAGAAAAGGCATCATTCTTCCTACTGGCTGAGAATCTGCTGCTTATGGCCAATTTTGGCAGCAAAGTGACAGGATTAAAAATAGCCTGAAGATGATCGAGTCTTCAATAATATATTTAGTGGTGAACTTTCCTTGGGAAAGTGCATCCTCCTGCTTGCTAAGAGTCACATGGCCCCTTTCAATTATTTAGTTTGTAAAAAAAAAAAAAAACCAACATCTTCGCCCCGAGCATTATAGTCATGTGCTGTTGAGTGATTTCACTCTGGTCCTTGCTAGAATGTTATGCTTGACTCAGTTCCCTTTTCTGTCTCAGGGCCATGGTTGTTATTTAATGTCTGTTGAAAGCCTGGTTTTCTTTGGGGTATCTGTGCTGTCTGGAACTGCTCCATCCAGGTGGCTTCAGTGGCGTTAGAACACTCGGCAATACCAGGTAACGAAAACCACAGATACTCTTATAGCCAAACTCAGAGTTTTTCCCAGTTTACTCCCAGTCATAGCCAAACTTTGGCTAACGCTCACTCATAAAGCAGGTTTGTGGGTGCAGTTCATAGGGTCTCTCCCACCCAGCACACCCCACACCCATAGTTGAGGTCACTCATCGTGTTCTTCGCAATAGCTGAGCAAAGCAGCATTTCCGCACAAGTGCATTTGTGTTAGAAAAACAACTCTGTCTTTGCAGTGGGCTAGTAGAAAGGTTTTTTCCCCCCTTCAGAGATAGATTGTATTTGAGATTCAAAGGTCCTGTTAGACCTTTTTACAGTAACCCGATATCATCTTACGCAGGTATAGCGGTCACCTTGCAGTCTGGTCACCCTTTTCCCCTGACCACACAGAGGAGACCACTTCATGAACTCACTTTGCTGCCCAGATTCTCTTTCATGCCTTATGGCTTCATTCAAACAAACTTGATGTGTGATGTGTCGATGGGATTGACGGGAAAGAGCACCCATGACTGACAGTTACTGGATAGATAGACGCGATTGCAACTCTCACAAGTGTCCACCCTAGATGAGGTTGGGGGCACAGGAAGGAAAGCCTTCCTCTGCCCTGAGTGACCTCTCAGGCTGGCACTTGCGTGGCTTACTGATCTCAAAGCTCCCACACTGATAAGCGTGACCCTTGACTCTGCTTTAGAAGGCACGAGATATATGTATACCTCTAGGTATATGTATTTTTGCATGTACTTGAATCTTTGTCTAGAAAACTTGTTTCTAATCATATGGCCGACTTCGGGGTGGGGGTTGGGGGTAGGGGGAGACAGGCAGGCCATTTTTAAAATCCCTTAAGAGAACTGAAAGGCATGGGGAGTTCCCTCCTT